GTGAAAACCTGAACATACCGTGCTGCTTGGAGAAGACTTTCTTCTGCCTCTGGAGTCTTCGGCCTCTCTCTATCATTGGGTTGAAGAAGGTCACCTGAAACATACAGCTGCACGTTAGCGTACGTTGAAGCAACAACCTGATCTCTCTCCCAACTCGTCAAACACACTGACGCCTGGCCTCAACCTCTGTAGCATCGGCTTTTAAAGCACAAGAAACATTTTTAGTATCATTTTTCAACATGTACGATACTCTGACAGGTTTCTATAGAAAACTGCAAACATCTGAATTGTTTTTCTTTCTCATAAGTGGCTTCTGTTGTGAAAGGCTCCACTTTTGTTTATTTTTTACCCTGTCCAAGTAGGCTGGGTGCAAAAACTTAACCAAAAATCAACTGAAAACAAAAATAAAAAATCAAAAATGTTGAAAAATAGCTGAAAAACCTGGGACACTAACTCCACTATTCTGGACGACAGGCTCAAGTCTATAAAAAAAATATGCTAAAGGGTTGTTTAAAAATGTGTATGTAAAAATCCGTGGTTGGGAACAACTGTGAATGTGTTGAAACAGACAAACTGCAGCTCTGTTAGGTGCATATTTGCACTCAAACTGGCCGACTTTGCATGTTAGCATCAGCATGCAAATACTAACATGTCTGATAAGCAGCTGCAGGCTAACATTAGCATTTTCCTGCCATGTGCACTCGACGTGTCGACGGATGCAGCTCGTGTTGGGTTGTATGTTCTGTTTATCTGTACCTCGGCCAGCAGCAGCCCCTGCGGCTCCAGTTCCAGCTGGACTTGGTGTCTTTGGTTGTCCAGGAACTCTTCCAGCTTCAGGTACTTCAGAGCGCACAGGGAGCGGTAATCCCTCCAATGCACCGCGATCTCCATCTCCCTGGACTGAGCACAGAACATGGCAGGGATGTAACGAGAGGAGCCGATCACTTTGATGAATTATAGAACAGAAAGTCTGCAGATTACCTAATCAGGATCTGAGCCCTGGTCTGGTTTTGCAATTTTATGATAGTTGAACTCTTTGGTGTGTGTTCAGTTTTGCAGGAAATTTAGTGCATAACAATGAGCTCATTTGCATTTTCTCTCCTTTTATCTTTTGTTTTTGTCTTTTTTTTCAGCAGAAAATTCAACTGTGAGGTGTGTAAGAAATAAAACTAGGTAAACCTATGTGCTCTGTTTAGGCAGTCTGTATTCTTTTCAGTAAATATCTGGGAAACAAATGCAAAAATATTACAGCACGTGTGTGTGTGAGAGAAAAACTGAGCGAATCGCAGCATCTCTGTGACAATACAACACAATGAGTGTGAGCTGCGTCTTACTCTCTCCAGCTCCACAGTGAAGGTCTGGTCCCAGGCCTGCTCCCCAACTGTTTTCCAAACTGTCTGACCCACCACCGTGTTCTCCAGCTTCAGCACTGCGCTCACTTCCGCTGCGAAACACACACAAAAAACACACATTTTATTCATTAAAATACATTGCGAAGGATTTGCAGACAGCTGAGATCTACAGGATTAAATTAAATGTTAGGAATGTGTTTCTTTATACGTAAACTTGATGCTAAGTGGAATCATCTTCATGCATGCAGGTAGCTGAAAAGTCCACAGTATAATGTAAGCTAATAAAAAACATGAAGTACGCTAGAAGGCAGAATGAGGGCAGAAAGTTGCAGCAGGAGTTCCTTACTGGAGAGCTCCTCGTTCTTGCTGGGGATCTTGAGGCTCATGCTGCTGGTGCTGCGGCTGTAGAGGCCGCTCAGTTTGAATGAGGAGCGTCCGTCCGCCTGAGAGTAAGAAGGAAGAACCACTGGGGTTCCTCTGCTCCGCCCTGGGACCACCTCCAACAGTCCCACACAGCCCAGAAGACGAACCTGAAGAGTACCTGGAGAGAAAAAAACGTGCAATTAATATTAGGCTTCTACTCAGCTGTGGTCAAAACAGAGACGTCCTCGTTACTGCTTCTACCTGTGAGCGGTGACGGTTTGCTCAGGGTGCTGTACTGGTTGTGGACATACGGCGTGCTGTGGCGGGAGCTGAACGCTGAGGAGGAGGCCAGCACCAGCTCCTCCTTGATGAGGCAGGCCTTGGGATGGTCCTCAGGCAGCTCCAGCAGCCTCTGCTCCAGAGAGCATCTGAGCAGGTCCAGACGCTGCGACGACTCGCTCAACCCGCACTGAGCCTGCAGAGTGGAGGCAGAGGATCACGTATGGAGGGTTTAACAGGTATGATGTTTAACATAGAGGTACGCATTGACCTTGGTGGGGGGAAGGCAATTGTTGCAGCAGCAATAAACAACAAATAAATATGCTCATAGGCAACCAAACACCTACGGAGCAACTTTCTGTTTTTACCTACATTTAGGGAAGAATTGATTGCTTTTACTGGATTATTTATATCACCATATTTACAGAAAATACCACACATAAGGCAGAATTACATTTATTTTCTGAACACTTACACACTTATTGACTTTCCTGTTGAGCGTTAGATGAGAAGATTGTTGCTACTTTCATGTCTGTCCACAAAATCTGAGCAGTCAGTTAGCTTAGCATAAAGACAGGAAACAGCTAATCCACCTACCAGCACCTCTACAACTCATAATTGCCATTGGGAGCAACTTCAGGTTCAGCGTCTTGCCCAAGATCACATCGACTGTGGAGGGGCGAAGCATTGAACCACCAACCTTGCCATTAGAGGACAACCTGCTCTACCACCTGATCCACAGCCGGTGTGTGTCAAACTTATGAGGTTTAAAAGCAACTCGTCGCCTCTCTGTTCTCTGACCTCAGCGATGGCCTTCTTGTCTTGGACCTTTCCTGCTCCCAGCAGTCGCAGCATGTTCTTGGCTCCCTCGGCCATGGCGTGCTCCACTCGGTAGTGATGCCACAGCTCCTCCACACGCAGCTCCACCCCACACAGGTCCGGCTTACCTGGAAAACACGTCAACAACATGTGAACAACGGGGCACACAGCAAGGACGAATATATATATATATATTTTTTGCCTTTATTATATAGGACAGTCGAGAGAGAGAGACAGGAAAGTGTGGGAAGAAGAATGGGGGAAGGAATTGCAGCAAAGGGCCATGAGCGGGATTTGAACCTATGGCTGCTGCATCGGGAACTACAGCCCCTGTACGTGGGTCGCCAGCTCAACCAGTTGAGCTATAGCGGTGGCCCAGCAAGGACAAATATAAATCAAAATATGGCACAGGAGGAGATTTATCTATTTATTGTAACTGGTTGATGTAATTTATAGGTTGTGTGTTTATTTATGCGGGATTTTGTGAACACAACACTGACACATCATCTTTTAAGTTGGTATTTTTTTGTCGTTTCTGGGGAAGGTTATCAAATATGCACACTTTTATCTCCCTTTTTGGTCTCCTCCACCTCCCAGGGGAAATAATATCTAATATTTTAGTCATTAAATGCTCCACTATGTTTACCAGCTAGTTACTCACTTCGTCTGACACAGCAATGGTGGAAAGTAACTAAGTACTTTTACTATATTTAAGCACAAAGTTGAGCTACTTGTACTTGAGGGATTCCACTTTCTGCTACCTTCTACTCTACTACAAGTCAGATGTTGTACCTTTTACTCCACTACATTTATCTGCTAACTTTAACGACGAGTAACTTTGCAGAATTAGTTTCATAACACAACATATAATCAACAAATAATCTACAGCGTGATATTATAGATCAGGACAGAACTTCACTGATCCAAGGGGAAGTTGTTAAGCTCGCCAGCACATATATACATATACATATGTAGCTATATTTTATATATATTAAGCCGCTAAACCACCTTCACCAGCTCCAACCTCAAAGCGACGAAAACCTTATGCATCAATAATTATAATCCAATAATGTAGATTGTTCTGATAAATGCCGTTCTGCATGATGAGCACTTCTACTTTTAGTACTTTCAAGTTTATTTTGATGCAAACACTTTAGTGCTTTTCCTTAAGTACACATTTAAATGCATGACTTTAGCTTGTAACAGAGCACACACTGTGGTGCCTTTACTTAAGGATAAGATCTGAGCACTTCGTCCACCACTGTTGCGCAGTTTTCTTTTTTTTGCTGAGCTGAGGGGAACTGCAAAGTTGAGCAACACTCTTAAACACTGCGAGTTGCCCCTTTCACATGCAAGCAGTCACGTGATCCACGTTAACGCATCGATCTTAGCGGCTTTAAAGAAGCCGAAGAGAAAGCATCTGGAGAAAATCAGGCCCCCACGTATCTCCATTAGTGTCAGTGAAGTTTTCTGTCCTTCCCCGAGTCCCTCCAGCTCTGCGCTTTGTGTTTTTTTTTTTTTTTATCCTTCCTGCTTATTCTGTCTTTCATCTCGGACTCCTTCCTTCCCGCCACTTCACTCTGTTGTCAACTCTGACTCAGTCCTTTCAGTCTCGCTCCCTTCCTGGCTCCCTGCATCTGTCCTGCCTCCTCTCTAACCTCTGATAAATGAGGCATGGCTTTTAGTTGTTGGGCAACATCAAGGGGATGCAGGAACATCAATAAGGCTCTAACCTGAGAGAGCGAGAGGGCTGTAATGGACAACGTGTGTGTGTGTGTGTGTGTGTTTGACTGGAAGACTATACACTGTGAAGTTCTGAAGCATGAATTGATCCATTACCACCCGCATCATAAAATATGTAGTGTTTATTGGCTGAAAGAGTGACAGGTGGGATGAAAGAGGAACTGAAAGAGGAGAGCGAGGATAAAAACAAAAGCATGACGGCTACTTTGGTTGTCCTCAGATTGCTCCGTGGCCTGCATGGCTTTCCGGATCTGCATGCGGATGATGTCGATCTTCGTCTTGCTGTCCTGCAGCATCTGCTGAGCCGTCTGGAGAAGCTTCTTGTCCTAAAAAGCAGAAGATGAGGGCGGGAGCAGAGAAGCACAGGTTGAACATTACAATCAGCGGGCGACGGTGAAGTGACGGAGACTTGGCGGTGGTGCCGTGAAGTACCTTGGTGCCTCCGTTGGCGTATATTGGAATCATGTTCTCTGCTCCCTGCTTGACCTTCAGCTCGATGTTCAGCTGCCGCTCCAGAGCTGCAATGCGGTGCTGATTGGCCGACGTCCGACTGACTGAACCTGGAGATTTGCAGGTATCTGGTAAAAGGAGCAGGTAGACAGCAGGAGCTCGGGTTACTTTAATGCAGTTGTTGAACCGTCATCGTTGTCCTCTGACAGAACTTGAAGGTAAAGACGGTGATTTCTACACATTTTAACCCACAAAGTACCACTCTGGCACTGGTTTCCAGCCTTAAAGGAAAGCACTGGTTTGCTGTATTGGCAAAACACAAGTAATATCTAAATCTGAACATAATAGAGTTAAAAAGAACATCGACTTAAACACAAATAAAGTATAAAATAACAAGAACTTTAAAATAAAGAAATGACAGAAAAATGGTGAGCTTCAAGTTTTCTTTTTAAGACACATGCTACAGCAAAGGTTAAAGGCCTTAAACCAGACCTTAGGAACACTAATAGATCAGAGGACCAGAGGGTTCTAGTTGGTACTTATCTTAAAACCACTTCTGACAGGTTAACAATTTAAAAAACTAACTGGTAGCCATTGCAGCGATTTTAGGTCTAATATGTCTCCTTGTTGTTGTTCTGATCAGCACATTTTGCATAAGGTTTAGTTAATCCACAGCTTTTTTTGGTGCCAAGAAAGTAGAGCACCACATACTAGTGATTAAAGTGTGCACGAGTGTCTCACTAAGAGAGAAAACGACACACTTTGGTAAGATTTGTTTATTTATAAAATGCCAGAAAATCACTTCCCAGCAATATGTATTCTATTGTACTGAACACATTATCTCAATAATAAGTCTAATAATAGGTTGGGTTTTGAAAAGCCTGCCTAATTAGTGCATTAGGAAGCATTAAAATCCAATATAAGACACAGGAATCCCAAATGAAGGCGAGAAACGCCGGTGATTCCCTGGACAGGACCTTGGAGCTCGTACTCAGCATCACTCAAGCTCACCCCATGATCACATATAGTTCTGGAGGAGATCCAGACTTTATTAAGTTATCGCTCACGACCTACACAGAAAGGTAGAGCCTGGTTCTAGTTTCTTAACTAAATTGCTTCATAATTCAATTGTCATCGTGTGGAAGAATCCCTGTGGGAGGGTTTTGATGAGATGAGCAAGATGCTGCTGAACGGGTCGGTGGGAATCGCTGATCTGACATCGAATTAATGCAACGTAATTACACACAGGTGCACGAAACAGCACATGACAGCAGCATATGAGCCATAATGATTTTTTAAAAAGCCCCGTTCATGTTCTGATCAACGATATTACAGGTTACAGTAACACACGTGACCAGGACACAGTTCCATCCATCATCTATACACCAATTAATCCTCACTAGGGTCATGGGGGGCTGGAGTCTATCCCAGCTGACTCAGGGTGAAGGCAGGTTCACCTGGACAGGTAACCAGTCTATCACAGGGCTACACTTAGAGACAGACAACCAAGCACACTCACATTCACACCTACGGACCATTTAGAATCACCAATTAACCTCTAAACTGTGTGGGAGGAAGCCGGAGAACCTGGAGAGAACCCACGCTGCACGGGGAGAACATGGAGACTCCACGCAGAAAGATCCCGGGTGTCCTCACTGGGACGCGAACCGGCGACCTTCTAGCTGCGAGGCAACAATGCTAACCACCGATCCACCTTGCAGCCCCAGGACACAGTTGTGACATCAAATTTTAACTTAATTTTATGAATTTATCTGAATTTTTGTTCATCATTGCATCATAAATGTTAATAGTTATTAATCACATTTTTGATGCTCTGCCAAACCTTGAAACTGCTTCTTGGGCAGCTCAGGTCTCTTTTGCGGGAGTTAAGTCGCCCTCAGACACTGAAGTAATGACATTCCCATCAGCCTCAAATGTTATTACACCAGCACACTTAACTAAGACAGCACCCACGTCAAACATTATCTCTGCTCCACGTCAGCACCGTTAATGTGAGCACAACAGGACAATTAACGCAGCATTTAAGCTCAAAGCACAACTGTCCTTAAGTGCAGCTATTACAAGCTTCTACTTTCAGTCTTGTTTAAATAGTGTTTTCTATGTGGATGAACACAGCAGCAGCAGCACTGCCTGACGGTGACCTCGACGGATCGCTTGTCTCAGCAGGTTTTCAGTGAAATGAAACCAACGTCTTCCTAGAAGGCAGGAAATCACACAGACTGGTACTTTTAAAGAACAGTCAACAAAAGTGTGTAGCAATGAGATAAAACATGTAAAACCACCTTTATGATCCACAAAACCTGCTGCTGGCAACAAGTATATTGTGATGAAGTTGTTCTCTGTAGCTACATGTTTTAAAGAGGACATCTGGCACATCCCCCAGCAGCACATGAGCTTGTGAGCCACTTCTCCACGGTGGATGCTTTACCTGTGTTGTCATCGGGCCCTTTGACCACGATGTGTGCGTCCAGCTCCTGCAGCTGGGCCTGGAGATACTCCAGCTTGCGCTTGGAGCTGCGGAGCTGCGAGTCCACCTGCTGGGCATTCCTCTTGTCGGTGGTGGCCCTGCGGAGATTCTCTGCGCCCTCCTTGATCTTCAGCTCCTTGCGGATCTCCCTGCGGATCCTCTCGCGGTGCTCGTCCAGCCGCTGCTGCACGCTGGAGTCGGAGAAGTCGGTGTTTTGGTCCAAACCGAGCTGCTGGAGCACCGACAGCCCGTCTGGATCGGTCTGAGGACAGAGAACAGGAGGAGGGACATATGATTAAAGAGAAAAGGACGTAGAAGGTGGCAGACGAAGTGCAGAGGTCACAGCAGATGCTACTTAGTAGAAAATAGCACCAATATGAAAAAGAGCTAAATATAGCCCACTGTGCATGAGGGGGATTATTCAATATGACTTGAAAGGGAAACTGACTCAAAGGGTGACATCTGCAGCTGAGAGGTGCTGAGCTGAGGTTAAAGCTGGAAACAGCCGCCCTGCACACATCTGACACGGTGACGCACTGCGAGCTGAGAGCAGGAGAAAACGGCGACTGCGAGAGCAAACTGTCAACATGTGAAACCTGCCAAAGTGAGACCGAGAGGCAGCATCAAAGCCGGGGAACCACTTTAGAGCGTAAAGAGCTGAGTGCTCGCATCAGCTCTCCTGCTGATCAGCGCTAACCAGATTACAGCAGATTAGAACTGCATTAATACAGACCAAAATCGATCAGGGTCTCGTCTGCCGCTGGACGGGTCACAAGTAAACACACACACAGCCAGTGTGTATGTATATAAATGTACCGTAACACTGAATTATCAGGAGAAGCAGATCAGTTTCAACTCGTTTTCAACCAGATTTCGTATCTCCATTATGTCCATTTGTTGTGATTTCTGCTGTAAGGAGATCACCGGCAGTTTACAGTGAACAACAGCTCAGATGTCACCGACCACTTTATTAGGAACATCTGTGAGATCAACACAACAGCTCTGACATAAAATCTACTTTTATGAAGCTTCTAAAATAATAATAATGAACTTTATGTCTGTGGCACCTTTCAAAGATGTTTTACCAAAAAATAAAGTACCAACAAAACCTAAAAAACAGACGTTAAAAGTTCCAAAAAAAAAGAATAAAACATTAGATAATTTAAAATATTGTACAAACACCTGTCAGTATAGGGGAGGTTTAAGAAAATCTTTTAACTGAGGCATCCTCTGAGCTGTTCTGAAAGTCCGGGGGAGATGTTTAACAGTGTTGTAAAAGAAGCACGGCCTCCTCTTGTTTTAAGCAGCTGATTTCTCTGATCTGAGGAATCAAGTTGCAGAATAGTGAGTTAAAAGGATCTGAGATGTAGAGCAGAGACAAAATAATCAACAGAATCTTACACTGAATTCTGTAGTGAATGGGTGTAATTCAGCCAGAATCACAGCCATGTGTTTCCTGCATCACTGAACAACAAAACCAACCATACATGGAAAACTGGTGCATCATTTAAACCAGGGAGTCATGAGTTGCAGTCGTCCAGGGAGGAGCAAATAAAGTCTGAGTTGTTCAACTATGTGTTTGGTTTGATTTGGGCAATATTTCAGATTTTTAAATTGCAGGATGGTTAAAAAATAAAATAAAATCTGGACTATAACAGCTGCTTTTCTGACCTGATGCTGTATCACGACATCAGTAGTTTTACAAAGGAGGTATGGAAGTATTTTAAATGATCACGAAACAGAAAGCTGCTCTGGAGCAGCACAACACAATGCACCTGAAACTCCTCTGTCCTTGTAGCTGCTAAATACACGAAAATGAAATGGATGGTGTGATTGTTCGGAGGGAAATGAATCCTTTAAACTAAACAATATAATAACCGATAATTATTTTTAAAAATGTATCTTTATTGGCTGCCCTAATAACAAACATTTGCCGCCCTCATGCATATTAATGTGTTGGACACATTAGAGAAACCTGCAAATGTAGAAAAGAAAAACAGGATTGATTCTATATTTTAGAAATTATAGCAGAGCTGCTATTGAATTACATAAGGATTCATAGGTGCACTTTACAAATGGACAAGTAATATATTAAAATGTGAACTGTTGGTGAACTAAGTGCAATCCATTCATGTAAATATTGTTAAATTTGAGTCCTTAGTATCCTTGTGTTCTTCTGTTTTGCTTATTTATATTGTATATATAGTGTTTATACCTCATCTCTTTAATGTGTAGTTGTGTTTTCTTGCTTTCCTTAGTGTCACTTTGCTGCTGTGATGTTGTAAATTTCCCCTTGTGGGACTAATAAAGGATTTTCTGTTCTACTTTGCTCAGAAATCACAAAAACTTAGAGACAAGTGGACACAAAATCGAAATATATGTATATTCTATGAGGTAAGATAACATGTGTAAGTTCCACATTCTCACAATTATGATTAACAGAATCAACAACTCATCTATTTATTGAACAAAAACAAAACCAAACCAAACCCTCCTGTATGAGTGTCTCTAAGCTGCACAGGGTAATGACATGCTGCAGTCAGCGGTGCACCGTGGAGGGTTTGTTCTGTCTCTTAGTAACGGCGCCACTCAAATGTCAGTCAATAGCTGCTGTGAAAAGCGGTCGCATGAAAAAGAATTAAAAAAAAAAAATGCACAATTGCTGTAATTTTCTTTGCTTTACTCGTAGAAAATATGGCAGGAATTCAGATTTTCAGTTCAACTTTTATCATCCAGTTTTCATCTGTATAAACAAATGAATTACTTTATTAAAAAAACAAACACGCTGTTGGTTTTATGAGAGTGAAAGTCGTATATTTTTATTGTACTGTGCAACTAGGGACAGGAGTTGAAATAATAAAATAAACTCTCAGTTTCAAGCTCTGCGCTGGAGCTAAGTTAAACTGTATCATCAAATAAAAATAAACTCAATTCAGCTAATAAAATATACACATAAGACGCCTCTGAATAGCTCTCGGCCACAAGAAGGTTTCCTGTAGTCAGTTGTAGCCAAAACACGAGGCCGTGCAGACGACACACAACACAAATAATGTGAAGCCCCACTAAAGGTTTAAAACCACTGGAGGTAAGTCAATACTTCCCAGAAACATTAAAAGCTGTACAAAGAGGAATCTACTGTTTACTGTGTTTGTTGCTCATGTTACTGTTTCCACCTCCAGCTGTATAAGTTTCAGTTTTAGACGACTGCTCACATCCTTCATGTGTAAATTCTTGCAAACCGGCGAAGGCGTCACGCATTCATTCAGTGTTGTGACATCAGATCTCATCAGATCTCACTCACACTGTTGGACACCGAGGACCGTCCCCCTCCCCTCCCCTCCGCTGGGGTATAATGACGGGGTGCTCAGGGCCTTTCACTGCACCGTGCAGCCAGCCATCCAGCTTAGCAGATCTGATTACAACTTCTTAGGTCTCTGTGTCCGTCCAGCTACATGCAGCAGGCCGGGGCCACAGCTCAGTTCTCATTAAAGCCATAATCCATCTGCAGCACAATGCACTGCAGCGGTCAGCCCCAGCAGCCACATGGCACAGGCCGAGTGCATGCAGGATTTTAACCGTTTCTTTAACGTTACATCACTGCACGAACGTGAAGCAACGGAATTGGATGGGTTTCACAAACTGGCAGCGGAACGAGGCCGCGAAGACGAACAGCGAACAAGTGTGTCGTTATTTTGAAGAGGTTTGATCGAGAAAAACGCCCCAGACGCGAGGACGTGTGTCCGTCGTGGTTCTTGGCGTGGCGGGCCCGAGGAGCCTCAGTGGTAGGAGCAGCAGCAGAAGAGAGAGCAGAGGCAGTAACACAACATGAACGACAGGAAGGGAGAGTTTGTGCACTGACGCACTCCTGTTCGACACAATACAACTTAATCCCTGGTGTTTTACAACAAAGAACCTCTGGAGCGAGGTCTAAGACAGCTCACACAGCGGGGCGAAAGCCCGGCAGCGGACAGGAATGAAACCCCCGCATGTGACTCGCTGTCAGATAGGAGATGTTTTTATAGGAAGTGAACGAGGAAGCTGACAGAAAAGAGAAGGGCCACAGCGATAGATGGAAAGAAAGCGGCGAGAAGGCGGCAGCGTTGAGGCCTGCTCTGGTTGCCTACCGAAGACTCTGTGTCACTGTGCTCGGCGGGCACCGGGGAGTCGACCTGCAGATCCCCCGGTAGGTCCTCTAGTACGTCCTCACTGGCCATCTTTGGCCTCCCTCTGGCTTCGCTCCCAGGCCCTCTCCCTCCACTCTGTCGCCTCTCACTATCACACACTCTGCACTGACGGCAGCACCAATCAGGCGACACCGAGCGCTATTCCTGCCTCCTCAAAATCCAGGATGTCCTTCCCGCCAGGAATCAAAAGCCAGTCTAAATCTGGAGCGAGTGAACGAGGCGGAGGGGAGGAAGAGAGAACAGCAGAGACTGAGCCCCACCTCGCTGCTTCCTGTTCTGCTCTTTGCCAGATAGAGACTGAGGCGTCATGCACTTTGTACACACACACACACACACACACACACACACACACACACACACACACAAACACACACACACACACAAACACACACACACATTCGGGTGGTTTTGTAAGTGAGAGAGCTCACAGTCACTCCGCTTCCTGCTACTGGGGCTCCAAAACTGAGAGACAGGCTGTTCTGAGAGAATGTGGTCATATTAAATGGACGCATATATTTCGGTGTGTGTGTGTGTGTGTGTGTAGAGGTATATTGTTGTACGTGTCTGCGTGCATGTGCAGTGCTGTGCTGTGCAATGACATGCAGGCTGGCATTACTGAATATACGAGAACAGACTGTCAGGAAAAGGTGCAAAACGATGAAAATAAACCTGCAAGAAGGAGTCAAAAATGCAAATCACTGTCATTGTGCAGCGCCGCACAGTCCTGCAGGGTGCTTGATATTTAAATGGGGCTTCAAGGACGACGGTCGGTAACAAGTTGGATTGTGAACTTTCCTCACAAAGACACGAACAACAAAGATCCTTGGAAAAAAAGGGCAAAATTAGGGAAAGCTGATTATTGTCTTCAGCACTGAGCATTTTCCAATTATCGGTTTTATTTTTCTAACAATTCAAGATGAAATAAATTAATTTACTTGACAACTCACGGCCCCGTCTGCTTGCATGTCACAAGCAGCAGCTAATCAACACTGAAGAATAAAGGTTGTGAAGTTCTATTTTAATTAGAAACATGAATATTTCTGCAAAGTTTCACGTTGGACTGCTTTTCTAAATTTTG